CAAAGCAGAATTCAGCAAACATTATTAAAAAATACAAGTTGTAATTATTACAATTTCATAGCAAAGAAATGTCAACCAATCTTCAACTAATTATCACAAGAGAGGCACTTTGTACACTCAGTATTAAGTTGAGGGGATTAGTTCCAGACAAAAGTTAATCTAAGATCTCTTGCCAATGCGACATTAGTTTATGCTAGATAACAGTTAGATTAAATCATTCAAAGTTCTGACCTCAGGTTACACTGTTCAGTGCATGGATGTTAGGGATCTGTCTATCTTTTCTAGCTTGTTTGATCTGCAGTAATTCTATCAAAAACTCTTTGATTGCCCACAGATAATTTACACTACATTTTACACTACACTATCGCCACTTTAACTTCAGAGAAAACCTGTGGAATCTCATGTATCTCTGGGTATGCTAGCCTTTAATTCAGATAGCAACTGCATTTTTGAGCAAAATCTCTCAATCTTACTCAATCTCTCCTACCTACTGTGCTTTGCTTCACATTGCAGCGTAGTCTTGGACTACATTAAATAGGATTTCTTTTGAGTGAGGTTAGGTCAGGAGATGGGCTCCACAGCATACCTGATGCACTCCAGTGGTCCTTCAATTCATGGGACCAGACTCAATTTAGTTGGAAATTGTCCACCATGTCCTCAGAACCAACCGCCTCATTCTAGAGATACACTCCTTTCCAACCACACTAGTTGCTAGAAATAGCCTCTGTGCAGATTTTTTCTGAGACAGGAAAGAGGTTCTTTAATGCCATTAATAGTTTTCTAATTGATCATATCATCATATTTTAATAGGCTTTAAAGAACACATAATGCATAAGAAATATATACATTATTTGACATGATCACATATCACAGGAAAAAATGAAATATAATTGGTAACATCAAGTTCTCCCAATTTACAGCAATTCTAAGATGTAAAAGCAACTTGGGGCACAGTCTCTGCTGAGTAATTTGTGGAGCCTTGGAAACAATTTCTAAATTTTTTTTTCCTTCAAATTCTTTTTTTGGTGGGGGAGGTGAGGACAGGACTTGGACAGAATGAAAAAATGAAAGATTAGTATCAGCTAAAGAGCTCCAGCACATGTTGAGCAAAATTTAAAACAAACCCTAATATTGTTATAAATTCCAAGATAAGTGAACAGGCATCAGGAGAAGGTATACAAGGACTGTGTCTGCTAGTTTATCTTTGTGAGTGTTTGAAAGTAGATGACAGTATATAAAAACAAAAAAACCAACACTATCATAAACAAATGCAAAATGAGCTGCAGAGATGAAATGGTGCAGCCTGTCTACTATTTAGTGCTTCTTGAAACTCTGCAAACAAGGAAAACGCCCTCCTGCTTACTGCTGACTTATCTGCAGTGCATTTCTTAGCAAGACAGCCATCAATACAGCATAAAATTTTCAAAGGGCATTATCCCTGCCCATCAACTGTGGATCAAACAGTGAGAAAAGGGAGTGAAAAACAATTTTTTAAACACAATAATTTCTTCTGACAATCCCAAAATTGTTCTAGCTGTAGATCACTCACCTGCACTGGAACGATACATATTAGAAATCCAGCCTTTCACTAGATAGAGACTCGTATCAGAATTTACATTCACTTCTTCACTTACATTGTAATTTAATATGGTTGCTTTTTCCACCTTCCCTCTTGGGCTTCATAGTTTAATATAAAGTGCTTTTTCTGCCCATCAGTTGCTGTTCTGAAAGAGGACTGTATGTAAGACTTGCATGCAGAAGCGGGTTCAATAAGTGTTCAGACTGTCTCCCTCTCCAAAAAGATTGCACACACCAGGGTACATTTGGGTACCTCCACTATCATAGCAGACTTCCTTTTAAAATTGCCTCGTTGTACTAGTTTGATAGATGATATCTCAGCTGGCCAGAAGAATGGGAGTAGGGACACAGAGATTTAGAAGTCCCACACATTCACCTAGAGACTCCAGCTGTAGGTAGGGGCTCTTATATTCTCTGTGATGCTACCTGGCATTCTTTGCACAGCATTATGTTAGATTTCGTATTAAAGTCAGTATAAGTTCTAACAATACAGTTTAGGGGAAATGAACAACCATATCCAAAATTCTTAGATTTATAACTGGCCAAAATCAGTTTGGTGGGTTTCTCCTGCTATTACATTTACTCTTAAACTGTCATATGACATGTAAGCTTAACTAGATATCTTTTGTGTACTTAAGTAGTAAGAGCCACAAACTCAGTTTAATCTTTTCATTTGACCTCTGAGAAAACCTCCAGAAAGGTCCTAGCTGGGACCTTTCAGTGAAGGTAACACCTCTCCACTAAAAATTGGACTTCTGCACAAGTCACTGGACTGTTGTTACCCATTAATCTTTACAAGATAAGAACTGATAAAGAGGGGAGAATGGCTGCAACGTGGCCCAGGAGTTTTGCCATAGAATTACATAGAGCCAGGCTTTTCATTAACTTATCATTAGATACAAGGACCAATTCTGAATCACTGGCTAAGATGAAGGATGTTTCCATAACGGATTTCTTCTTGTGCAGGCTTCACAGTAAATTGGATTACATTAAACTTCACTGAACAGCCTAAAATGAGTACCAGCTAGCATTATGGCTATCTATTCCACAAAAAGCTGACTCACTTTATAGAGATTTGTCTTCTACCAAGCTCTGTCTTAAAGATAAGGAGGTTATACTTCTTTGTTTTGCTTTGTTTGTTTTAATATCTTGCACATGCACTAACAGCCTATAGCAAAAACAAGAACACGGGGACATGGGGATTCTACATGCCTACCTCCCATTTCTAGAAATATCTTTCACTAATCAGGCAGTGGGTCTTAGGCACTTTTGACATTTTTATCGCCTAAATAAATTTTTTAAAGTATCTGGTCAGAAACAAGTTCATCACAGCTTGGTCTGATCAGAAGTGCACCCAGGGAGGTGGACATTTAAGGACACTGCCTATATTATTTTCATTGAGCTGTCAGCTTATTGTCATTTTTCTTGTGCTTTTTAGCTATTTCTTTCTTTTAAGAAGAAAGCTTAGCTTTATTCTGATCTGGTTAATTGTGCAAAATTGACAGCTGAAACATTTTTTTAAACAAAATATGGATTCAGGGCATTGGCGAAGTCCCATCTCCCATTTGCCTATTCTGAACTTAAAGGTTTGGCGGCAATGGAGGAGAAGCTAGGCAGGAAGCCAAGGAATTAGCCTGAGGCTGTACAGTCTCCTCCAAGAAACAAGCTGTGCTGTAGGATACGTAATCACACCACCCCCTTTCCCAGTTCAGCTAGTCACCTCCTTATCCTCTGGCATGGCAGGACTCCAGTAGCTGCCTGCAGATGTCCAAGAAGGTGTCAGCAGGGCTCAGGATAGCTTGATGGAAGTAGTGTTGTAAAAGGGAAAGATTACCACTTCTAGCAGACAGTTTACTCCACGGACAGGTCTCAGTAGGATGGAACACGTGTTTAAAAGACTGAAAATGCCTACTGATACAGGTCACATAAGAAACAAGCTGAAAGCCAAATGAGTTCTCAGGTCAGCAATGAAAACAGCCTAAAATCTTTGTGACATCTTAACAAAAGAGATGCCAAGAGCTCAAACTGCAAGGTCAACAGTGTTGTGGCCAGTTCAAACAATCAGCTTGAACCCTGGGAATGTAAAGAGACAGAAGAATGATGCTCATTGCTATCTAAAGGTCAAAGCATTTACAGGATATTGTGTTCCAGAACCAAACTAGGTCTGTCCCTTACTGTATCTAATCACAAAAGGTGTTGAGCAATTGGCTTTAGCTCATATTCTAGGTTATGCTGGGAACTTCCTTGCAAAGTCCTTCTGCTTATCTGTTTAGACATGTTTTCACCCTGCCACATGATGATTTGAAAGAATTTTTATACTTCCAGAGCAAACACATCATCAGTTATCAATTAAGAATTCATGCTCAAGTCTGTCTGCAATTAGGGAAACATTTGATGATCATTTCTAAATAGCAACATTTTCCTAAGTTCAGTCCTAGAAAGTGATGCCTTGAATTTACCCATACTGTGTCACTGAAATACACAGGGAAAAAAAATCAGGATTGCTGGTGTTTAAAGAAGACTTAATTTTTTTTGTTTTCCCTCAGAGGATGACTTTTCAATATGACTTCAGCAAGAATAACTGCTTTCTTAAACAAGACAACTAGCATTATTTCCCTTCTCCTTAAGCCCTTCCAAGTTAATTCTTCAAGTACCTACAATGCAGCTTTTTCCTCCTTTCACCTCCGTAAGCAAAATCTGTAAGATTCATTTTGATACTTTAGAGACCTTAAGAGAAAATATTAAGTAGATGGTGTCTGGACAAAAATTAACATTGTAATTGAAGGCAGAGTGAAATCAGCAGCTCTGCATTACCCTAAGATAGGAAATAACCAGCTGCATTAAGATAAAAGTTATAACCCTTTCATACAATCAAAAGAAATTAAAGATTTTTACAGAAAACTTATTTAAACATTTGGTTGCTTCAAATGCAGACTTCAGAGAGAGGGACTTTAGCTAAACAAAAGACTTTCTCAAAGGGAAATGCTTAGATTCATTCAGAGTTTTGTTCCTTCACAAACAAACACGAAAGTCAAAAACACTTCCACAAATAAATAGAAGCTATTACAGTAAGGACTGGGCAAAATCTGTACTGGAAGCCCACATTACTTTGATTTTCCTTTTTAATTGTGGTAATCTACTTAAAAAACATCTGACTTCTTTTAACTAGGGCTCAGATCACATAAAGAAATGAGATTCCATTGAAGACTCATTGCAAAACTAGCAATTTGTAAACCTTTAGAACAGCTTTTGAAATCTTGGCCAGGGACATTTGCAATGCAGCTGGTCTTCATCATTTCTTGTTTCATGAGGTCATTAGATTGAGAATTACACACATTAACTTGGCTTCTATTTATTTATTTATTTATGAAAAGATTGATAAGAGACACAAGGACTGGTTGTATTAGTGAAAACAAACTTACCCGTGCACCCTTCTCTGGAAAACATTTGCATCCAGCACTGCAATCGCGGCCCCCGCATGGCCCACTGTAAGACTTCTTTCCACCCTATTAAAAAAAAAAAAAAAAAGAAAGAAGAAAATTGAATGTCATAACTATTTGTCAGCTGAAGATCTTCTTTAGTTAAAATGCTTTGTTTCAGCATTTTGCACCTATGTTACATTTGTTGTGTGAATTTGCTGGGAAATAAGTGGCAAAATATAGTTACATTTTAACTTCTCCATAATTGGGTCATTTTTAGAATCACCAAATAGACAGAAAAAATTGGTTTAGAAATCCTTTGAGGACAAGTGAATTTACACAAGTTGGTGCTATTCTGCAAGGTGATGAGTGCTTTCTAGGGCTACAAAAACCCGTAAGACTAGATGATGTTTTGAGATACTCAATACACTATTAGACTAGGATCACAATCAATAATTAGAACTTGTGCCTCAGCCATCCTGCATACCCAAGTATCTCTACATCAATGAGAACTACCAAGACGAATTTAACTTTGTGATCCTTGCACATTTCTAAGAGCAAGAAGCTGTTCCCCCCGAGACACCACAACAGAGAAACTCCTGGATGAGAGAAGGTGGCATTTTTAACTAAGAATAGATGTGCGAGGAAGATGGTAGGAGACCACAGTGGATTTGGATTTAATCTGAAAATATACTCTGAATTTGCTGCACTAGCATTAGTTATTTCAAGGATAATTACAATATTTATGTAAATCTGAAGTCCCTATATCACGACCCAACTAACACAGGTTGTGATAGTACATGAAAGTCAACTACATGAGTTTAGTTTAGAGAGTTTGACCCACTTCCTCCCACACTCAACAGGCTCACAATACTGGGCTGTCAAAAGCCCTGCAACACTACTGACAACACCATAACAGCCCTGGAAAAAAGTTCAATTTAGCGTTGTAATTTGGCAACTCACTAAGAACACCCCTCTCTAAGGAAACTCTCCTTCACTGTCAAGCATGCTCAGGTACAGTCCCTAGGTTTTGGAACTCTGAATGGAATAAACATTTAAGCTCCTCATATCAAGGTGACCAAACTAAGTGCTGAAACAAGTTCAGACTGGAATTGAACATTTCCTTACTGAAAGCATTCACAGAAAATATTTTTAAAGCCTTTAAAATTTCCTGACATCTGTCGGTGAGGAACGTGAAAAATGAAAGGCAATTCATGCAAGTTTCTCATGTACTTTTGAACTTCTTTGCATCAGATTTCTCAAAGAAACTAACTAGTCTGACATCACTTGATAAGTTGTCTGCTGAAGGTAAATAAAAAAACCTCTACACACCCTGACATTCGCACTGTTTTGCTAAATTAAACACCTCTTTTTAAGGCGGCATAGAATTAACAGATATTAACAAAAAGCCTTAAATCCAACCTCCCATACTTCCCTAGCCTGAAGGGAGCATTATCTCTTGCTGCAAAATAGTCATAACAACCTTCAAGCAATTCTAAGAGGCATCAAGTATAAAAAAACCAAGCAAACAGTACTTTTGCAGACTTGGCAATTTTGTTCAGATGAGATCCCATTAGATATGGCGCTTTTGGACTACTCATTAACATCCTATGGTAGGATCTAACACAATACTTGAGCAGAACAGAGAGAGTGATACATCGCAAGAGAGACACCATAATAGGAAACACAATGCAGACAACTCTGACCCTAGGCGGCAGGAAACAAAAGTAAGCTTAATGCAGTAAAAGTAAAACCAAAAAACCAAAGAAAAGCAGAAAAATGGTATCTAGAGTTATATAACAGACTGTAAGAGGATCTCCAAACTGTCTGCTCAGACAAGAATGATCAGCACGAACTTGAGTCTGCAATGTACACTGGCAAGGGCTCAGTACATAAAAACTGGTGCTTGTCTTAACAGACACACTGCTGAGAGGTCATTTCTGACCACAAGTATTATTAAGACTTTAGAACCTGGTTCTAAGAAGACTTAAGAGTGCAGTGCACCAAGACACACCTTTTGCCATTATTATATGCGTATTTTGCAGTGGAAATTTGGACTCATTGCTAACCAATGTATACCTCTATACACAAGTTGACACTTAACCTCACATTTACACTGTTACCATATAGCTTTATGCTTCCAGAGAATCAGATTATGCCTTCCCAGACATTTATTCAACCTTAAATTCTTCAAAGATTTCAACTTCCAATTAATTTTTTTCTCCCGATTATTCTTTGTTCCAACAGTCATTTACATGAGCCTTTTGGTCCTATGGTTCTGTTAATTCTGCTTGCCTCCTAAGAGTGAGTAATGCCAAAGACACTTTATTTCTTCACAGGTCTGGATTCCTCTAAGGTCACTGCCTTGCAACAGTTGCTGTCTCAGAGCACTGAAGCTCACCTTATCAGAAATCCCCCATCTCTGATGGCAATCAGGTCCTCCCCAGTGGCAGAGGGCTGGACAAAAGGCAATGATCCTTTCCATCCCCGCTGCTTGTGCTGCTCCCCACAGTGCTGTGGTTAGGCAAATATGGTTCTAGTCAAAATCCCACTGAAGTCAAAAGAAAGCTTTCCATTGAATTTATTGGGAGCTGGATCAAACTCTCACTGAAGTTTATTAAAAACTGAAAATACGTCCCTATTTTGTGTAAAATTGTGTTCACAATGTATTTCTAGGTTCCTTTTCACAGCATGAGGAGGCATTTTGCTCACTTGTGAATGAAAGCATTTGGAAAGGAAGCAAACCAAAGCCAGTTGGCTCCAAACCAGGTGTTACATGTCCTAAGTATTTTATTTAGGGGAAGTAGCTGACATCAGACACTCCAAGGCTACTTAAATAGCAAACAGCCCATGTGCATAATATTTATGAATACAAGTCTAAAGGCTGCATATAAGATTCTAGACCACAGCGTTCTCTTCTGAAAATGTTTAATACATTTTTCCATTCAAATGTATGAATGTGTAGGTCATTCGAACATTTATAGATTGTAATCTGAACGTGTAAGCATGGGCCCTTCATACTTGTTCAGTGTATGTATTCAGGGAAGAGATTTCTCCAACTGCTCTGAGATATATTTCAGACTGATGAATACGGGTCAGAAACAATAAGAATTAAAGAAATAAGGGTACTAGTTATAGTGACAAGTGCCAGCATTATAACAGAAATGAATTAAACTATTTTAATTTCATTGGCTAGAAGTAGACCAAGGTATTCAAAACTGAAAACATAAACATAAAATAGTAGTACTGTTAAAAAAATACATTCTCTGAGATTTAAATAGCCGTAATATAAACTGAGTAACATACATACTGATTTTAATTGAGTTATTTCAGGCTAACGTAAGAATCACTAGCATTTCAGTGTAGGAAAATCCACTTTATTTAAGAAGTATTGATATGAGTGAGAAACTATTTTTAAAAGACATTCAAAAACAAGAGTCAGTGTAAGAACAATTTTCCTCTCCTGCTTCTGGTGTACCTCCATCAAGCATTTATGCACAGTTGATTCATTCAGATGGAGTGCCATTCAAATTTTTCCATCGACTTCAGCTTGTTCTGGAATGGAGCCAAAGAGAGTAAAGAAACCTAACAGCTGTGATGCCATAAGAGGTGTCCCAGACTCGCGTTCATTCCAGCTTCTCTAGAGCAACACACAGGACCACAGAATAGCTACAAATGGTCTTGAAGGCTTTGCCTGCAAATCCGAAGAAAATTGTACCTGCAGCACAGGCAGGAGTAAACCAACTAACATAGGACTTCGGTAGGAGATTTCCAGGAAGCACAGCTCAGATGCATGAGCTGGGGCCCAATTTTCTCTCAAAACTTCTGCTCTGTATCAAAGGGTCAACTGCAGAAGACTTGAAATCTATTGACTGAAGACAATGATTTCAATCTGCTAGGAGGGTGAACCCACAAGCCAGCAGAGGAACGCGATGAGGGCACGTTTTGGGAAAGGACAGCAAAAAGGTTAAAAACATCATCTTTAACATGAGGAAGTTAGAGTAGCAGTGGCTGTAATGGGAAAATAAATTGGAAACTTTTAGAAAAGAATGGATTCTAAGGAATGCCAGCATGCAAAATTGGAGGATGTACAGTACACCGAAAAAAGAGCATGTCCGTGATAAAAGAGGAAAAAAGATGATGACGAAAAAAAGTTGATGATGATAAAACAGAAAATGAAAGAATCTCAGACTTGCATAAAGAGATATGGCAGGGATGAAAATTTTTTCCCCCAAGACTTACTTCCAGTAACTTCCCAACTCCAGTTAAGGACTGGAGTTGCTCCAGAACAAAATCCCAACAGGAGAGTTCATAATCAAAAGCTGGAAATGGAGCATAATGAAAACTTCTGGAATCTTCAAATAAACATCTTTCATGTAGTTCAGGATCCTGTTATCTGCTGATGACTAATAAGGAAATTATATTTACAGTACCAGACATTCAGACACCCCGAATTTCACAGCAAAAAAACCCAGTGAAACATAGTATCTCTGTTTACTTCATGAGCTACGTAACGCTGCTGTGTTAATCTTACTCTTTTTAGCCTTCATGGCTTTTAGGAATTAAATTCATTATAACATTTTCTTTGTCTATTATTCTTTTAGCTGTCGTATTACAGAATTCAGAGCCCAGTTCTGAAAACACTTATCCACATGTTCAACTCCTCCCTCTGAAATTAGCAGATTCCACTTTGCTATGCCTTACGGACATGAAAGAACTTCTTCAAGGTTAAAAATCCTTGGAAAAAAAAGATAAACCAGGAACCACAGCAATCTCTGCACTCAGAAATGGCAGTGTGACCCATCAAAGATAGCAATGATGCAGCAAATGGATTCAGTAATACTTTCTAACACGAGGTGTCACGGAGCAGAAATAAACTGACAAATCTTGCCAGTTAGATTGTATGAAAACAGTTGCTGGGATTTGTTTGGCAGTGAAATATTGAACAGGTTAAGAATAAAATTAATCATGTCAGCAAAACATCAGATAAAATTAAAATACAAACACATTTTTCCCATGAAGAACATCAAGTGCCTGAACTCATTTCAACTTTTTTCTTAGTGAGGTTCCCCAAACCTTGACTTGCC